TCCTCCCTCCTCCCGGCCCTAGATTGAGAAGGTGGACCTGAGGGATGAAGGTGTCTATACTTGTGCTGCCACTAACCTGGCTGGGGAGAGCAAGAGGGACGTGGTGCTCAAGGTCATGGGTGAGGACATGGGCGCTGGATGGTGGGCGGTCCCTTTAGGGCCCTTGGGGCTGCTGTGGGGGGTTGGGGAGGAGGGCGGGGTTTTAAAATCTCAATCATGCACTTGACTTTAGAAGTGGAAACTCATTTGCTCTGTGGCCCCTTTTGGTTGTTTTCTGCAGGATTTTTAGAGGACGCCCTTGTCCGCAATCATATTTACCTTTGCTTGTTTTAATTGTTTTGGGGGTTCCTTCACATCTTTGTAGTATGGGCAAATCCCTGTGCTTGTCACTTTTCGTGGCTGTCTGGGGTTCTGCCTCCCTGCTATGCTGAGTGTCGGCTGTTCCTGGGGGTGGGCACTGGGGTGGTCCTTGTTGTATGTTTGCTATGAAGATTGTAGCCCATGTGCCTTTTTTCTTGCCCTCGGTTCAGGAGTGGGGTTCCTTGATCAGAGGGCATGAGCCATTTGGGAAGACTGGGGAGGGGCACCTGGGATGACTGAGATTTGAACTACTGGAGCCTATACCCACCAAGCCAGGGTGCTGCTTATCTCCCTTAGTGCCCCCCAACATTGAGCCTGGCCTTGTCAACAAGGCAGTGCTGGAAAATGCCTCAGTGACCTTGGAGTGTCTGGCTTCGGGCGTGCCTTCTCCAGGTAAGACCCCTCTCTCGGCTGAAAGCTACCGCCCGCTGGCCCCATTTCCCCATCAGTGAGGCTGGCCAGTGCCCTAGGTACCACTCTGGCTGTGGACAAAACACGATGAAGTCTGCAGGCCCGTCTCCCTGTTTCTTGTATTTTCTCTCTTCCGTCTCAACAGCTGTTTACTCAGTACCCATTTCGTGCCAGTCGCTTCCAGGGCCCAGAGCCTTTGTGCTGGTGTCGGAAGCAAACCTCAGGTCTTCTGTTCAGAGCTGTAACTTCACAGGGTTGCCCCGGGGCTGGGGACAGGGACCAGGACCCCCAAATCACTGTCCATCTGGGCCTCTTCTCTGGATCAGCAATTGAGGAAAGGGCTGGGAGCTTGGGGCTAGGTGTGTGTTCAGCAGTCAGGATGGGCCTAGGAGGGGGGGTGCCATCTCCTGTCCCCCATCTGAGCCATGTCCACCCTGCTTTGCTTGGGTAGTGGACCCTGGAGGCACTTGCCCCCTCCCATTGAGGGGAAACCCTGCTCTCGGATGGGCCCTGGCCGGATGTAAGGAAACTGAAGATCCAATTAGTCCATACTCACGAGGCTGCTGTTTTGGGGGTACACCAGACTCTTCTCTAAAGCTTTCCCTCATGAGTAGTCTCCTGGCAGGGGCCGGGCTGGCTTTTACTCTCCTTGCTCCTGGCTGCCACAGCCTCCACCCGCTGGGGCTTCCTCTCTGCCCTGAGCTCTGCCTCCGCCCCCTTCCTGGAGAACTCTGGCCTTCCCCAGTGCCTGAAACAAAAGCACACCACGTGGCCACCCTGGGAGCCTCTCTTGGATGCCCGTTGTACAGGCACAGTCTGAAGGGCTGGCAGGACCCCTTGCATCTCTCTTCTCTCTCCCAGCTATCTCCTGGTTCAAGGGCCGCCAGCCTGTCTCAGCTCGCAAGGGAGTGATGGTGTCCGCTGATGGGAGAGTTCTCCTCATTGAGCGAGCCCGACTTTCTGATGCTGGGAGCTACCGCTGTGTGGCATCCAATGAGGCAGGCGACACAGAGCTGCAGTATGGCCTACGGGTCAATGGTGAGCTGCCCTGGAAATAAAGTTCCAAACATGGTCTCCCATCAATTTGTCTATCAGTCTATTCATCCATCATCCATCCATTCGTCCTTCCTTTCATCCATCATCCATTTATAGCCCGCCCTTCCTTCCTTCCTTTCTTCCTTCCTTCCTTCCTTCCTTCCTTCCTTCCTTCCTTCCTTCCTTCCACCCATCCATTATCCATCCATCCATCTTTCCTTTCATTCATCATTCATCCATCCATGCATCCATCCATCATCCACTCATTTATTAATCCTTTCTTCCTTCCTTTCCATCCATCACCTATCTGTCCATCATCCATTCATCCATCTATCTGTTTTTCCTTCCATTCATCATCTATCCATCTTCTTTCTTTCTTTTTTCCTTCCTTCCTTCCTTCTATTTATCATCATCCCTCCTTTCATCTATGCATGGGAACAGTCCATTCATTGCCTTAGCCATCCATTTAATCCTCTGCCATTCATCTACCCGTCTAACTATTCATCTGTCTACCCATCCACCTTTCCATTCATTCAACCATCTATTCCTTCATCTAACCAACCATGTTTATTGAGGACATGCTCTGGGGCAGACGCTGGGGCTGCAGTCCTGAGCAGGACGGACCCAGGAGCTCTCTGTAGTAACTAGATAATTATCCAAAGTACTGTTTCCTGACGATTGTGATAAGAGCTCATAAAGGTGAGGTACACCTGAGTGCCTGGAACCGGGCACTGACCTGGCCTGGGGACTCTGGGAGGCGTCTTGGAGAGCTGGGTGCCTAAATAGAGACCACGTGCCAAAGCCCGAGGCTGCAGAGACCTGGGGAATTGGAGGAACTGGAAGGAGGTTGGGGGCCTGAAGTTGACAGAGCAAAGGGAGGTGGGTCCAGGTGGTGGCCAGATGGAAGCTAGAGGGGTTGGGCCTTTATGCTAAGAGCAGAGGGTAGCTGGGCAGGAGGCTGGAGCCCTGGGCTCGTGGCTTGTGTCTCCCGGGTACGATGGAATCTTCTGGTCATTTTCTGCCCAAGAGGGGCTGCCTACAGGGTACTGTTTCATCTGACACCTCTGAGGGGGACCACAAAACCTGCCTGGGGGTCTTCAGCTCTTCCTACCCCACACCATCCCCAGGATAATGACCTAATGCTGACCAGAAGGCCCAAAAACAAGTGCTGCTTCTGTCGCTTCCTAGCTGCTCGACCCTGGGCACGTGACTTGCCCTCTCTGAACTGTTTCCCAGCTGTAGAGGCCTCATGGTGGTGCTGAAAGGATGACATGAGCAGCCTTGAGAACTGTGGAGTGGTGTGGCTGTCCCTGTGCTTTTGTTGGTGGCCTGTGGGGGTGCCCAGCCAGGGCCCCCCCCGTTTCGCCTTCAGTGGGCCTCAGCCTATGTTCTGTGTCTCCCTGCCCTGCAGTGCCTCCCCGCATCACACTGCCACCCAGCCTGCCTGGCCCCGTGCTGCTCAACGCCCCGGTCCGGCTGACCTGTAATGCCTCCGGAACCCCCAGCCCCATGCTGATGTGGCTCAAGGATGGAAACCCCGTGTCCGCTGCAGGGACCTCTGGCCTCCAGGTCAGTAGATTGGGTGGCCCCCGCTTATTTCCCTGGTGCCTCAGGGGGTGCTGGGAGCTGAGGTCAGGCCCTGGGAGCTCCAGGGTGAGGGAGAAGCAAGATCGCCCAGAGCAGTAGGTAGGTGAGCTGCAGAGTGGAGCGTCTAGAGCACGCGGTCTCCAGAAACACAATGCATGGCTCAGGTTTTCAAGTAGCTGCATTAAAACAAGTAAAAAGAAACCGATTTCAATAATACATTTTAACCCAATATATCCAACAATACATGAACCCAATATATCCGAAAAGTATCATTTCGTCACATGGCCTTTTTGTACTAACTTGCTGAAATCTGTTGTGTATTTTACACTTTGGAGACCAGCCCCATTTCGAGGGCTCACTAGCCGCAGCAAAGCTCTAGAGGACCTTCTCGGGGGACCGATGCAATGGCCCTCCAGCTGTCAGAGGTCCCCAGGTCTGGGTACCACTCCCAGTTCCCCTGTGTTGGGGGGCTTTGGGGGTCTGGAGCAGACTGCTCTCACATGCCCGGCAGCAGGGCCAGCTTGGGAAGGTGTGGGTGCTGACCCTTGAGGTGCATAAGCTCATGTGGGCTTCCTTCTGGGGGCACAGGTCTTCCCTGGGGGCCGCGTCCTCACGCTGGCCAGTGCCCGGGCCTCCGACTCTGGCAGCTACTCCTGCGTGGCGGTGAGTGCAGTGGGTGAGGACCGCCAAGACGTCGTGCTCCATGTCCACAGTGAGTCTCAGGCTGGGGAGGCCACCTGGTCCAGGCCAGCAGCTCAAGAAGGTGGGGCTGGGGACATCCCCGGCCATATCCAGAGGGAGAGGGGGTGGTGGGTGCTGACACTGGCTGCCTTCATGTGGGGGTCAGTTGGAGTGTGAGCCCCCACATCGTGGACAGGTGGGCAGGCGGGCGGTCCCTCGCAGTCAGGAGCTCCAAGTTCAGGGAACTTGGTGGAAGGTGCCTGATGTCCTGGGTCAAATGAAGGCAACAGTCCATTTGGGAAAGGCGGTGTGGGGTAGTGGTTAGGAACACCTGCTCTGGAGTGTCGTGGACCTGGGGTTCAAACCCTACCTCCGTCACTTCCTACTTCCATGACCTGGGGCCAGTCACGTTGCCTCCATTTCTTTATTTGTGAAATGGACAAAGATGGCGTTAGGTTGTCACGAGATTCACTACACTCAGGAAGCTTGTTCCGCATATGGATTTTGTGGGGGTCTCCGGAGGTGTACAAGGGAACTCCGGGGAATATAGAGCCTTGGGTAGGAGGGGTGAGGAAGCGTTCACCCCCAGCCCTTCCCCGTTGTGAGAGTCATGAAAATAGCTAACAGGTGTTGTGCCCAAACGTTCACCTGTGTCATTGCATTTTATGTCCCAGCAGCCCAACCAGGTGGGTACTTTTGTCACCCCCAGAAAGGCTGAGTAACGTCCCCAGGGCCCCACATAGTGACCGCGTGGAGGAATGTAGGGCTCCAACCGGAGCGCTGACTCCGGGCCCTGCCTTCCTTACCCCTCCGTTGCACAGGTTATTTTTGTCTCGGGGAAAGAATGCCTAGGGGAACTGCTTTTTAAAAACCTTTAAAAAATTTAAAATATTAGTAATTTTTAAAAGATTCTGAGATAATTGTAGATTATCTCAGAGGTCACTGAGGGGTGGATAAGAGGGCTGCAGCTCAGGGCAGCCCCCATCCTAATGGCGAGGTAACTGCCATCCCCTGGTGTTGGCTCCTGGCTGCTGGGTGTGGCTGGGCCGGCCACAGGTCACAGCCCTGCTCTGCTGGTCCCACCCACCTGCTGAGACAGCCTCTCCTGTCCCCTCCTCAGTGCCTCCCAGCATCCTCGGAGAAGAGCTGAACGTGTCCGTGGTGGCCAATGTGTCCGTGGTGGCCAATGAGTCAGTGGCCCTCGAGTGCCAGAGCCAAGCCGTGCCCCCTCCCGTGTTGAGCTGGCGGAAAGATGGCCGGCCCCTGGAGCTGCGGCCTGGAGTCCGCCTCTCCGCAGACAAGGCCTTGCTGGAGGTGTGCAGCCCCTGAGGGCCTCCACCTAGAGTGGAGCTGAGCCCCGGGCGGGGGTGGGGAAGGAGGGCGGAGGGCTGTGGGGGCCCCTGCCGGCATCAGTTCTGCTCAGTGCAGGCCCCTTTGGGCCCTACGTCAGGGCACATCCTCCTGACCCCGTCAGAGCTGCTTCCAGCCAAATGGGGACAGGGGGTGCAGCCTCAGGAGTGAGCCCTCAGCGCCTCCCTCAGGGACCTCCCCCGCACCCCGCCTTCCCCGAAGCTGAGCCACCCTCTTTCCGCCTGCTTTCCACTCCTTGTTCCTAAGCCTTTACCGGGCATCTGGCCCAGCAAGGTGGGGGTGACGAGGGTCAGAGACTGTGGATTAAGCCTGGATTTAAATTTTATCTCTGCCTCCTCTGGCTGTGCCACCTTCGGCAATGTCCTGACCACACTCGCCTCAGGGCTCTCCCCTGTAAACACACTGGCACCTTTTTTCTGGGGCGGCTGGGAGAATCCTTGGAGAGAATGCCTGTGAGGTACCCCTTCAGCTGTTGGGGAGACCCTTCCACCCCAGCCTGCTCCTCCTCCCACCCTTCTACACCTTGTGATATGATGATTCTCAACTCTGAGCACTTCCGCTTGGTTTCCTGCCCGGAACGCCTGCCTCTCCCCCCCCTTTATTCTTCAAAGCTGCAGCCCAGCTCCATCAGCCACCAAGGCAGGGCCTGGCGCCCGAGGACAGGGCCCCCTCCACCCCACCCTTCTTCATTCTCCACTTTCTCCTCTGGGCTGTTCTGTTAGAACAGAGCTGGGCTGTGGATGTGAAGTGGGGTGAAGCTGGCAGGGCCGCCATTTAGGGAGCCCATTCCATGTCCCTGAGCCATGTCAGGCCACCACAGGCACTGGCTTCTGGAAACTTCATGGGGTAGGAAGTACAGGAGGTGCTACCATTGCCCCCAGGTTCCAGGCGGGGAGGTTGAGACACAGCCCCACGGTCACACAGTCTGTCCAGGGGTAACCCCATCTCTGTGCTGCCCCTGCTGATGGGTTGTTTTGCTCTCTGTCAGGTGAGCAGAGCTGAGGTGCAGGACGCAGGTCGCTATACCTGTGAGGCACTGAACCAGGCAGGCCACTCGGAGAAGCACTACAACCTGATCGTCTGGGGTGAGGGTCCCCTGGGCTGGGCTGGAGCCCCTCTCCCTGCCCCTCCCAGAAGTGGCTCTCATGCCCCGGGGGAGCGCTGCCTTGTTGGGATCCCGGGTACGGCCTCCTCCACCCCGTCCCTGCCCCTCCCAGCCCACCACTTCCTTCACACGCCTGTCTTCTCTTCCCCAGCTCCTCCAGTGTTCCCCTCTCGGGAGCCCATCACCCTGACTGTGACCGAGGGGCACCCCACCAGACTGTCCTGCGAATGTTGGGGTGTCCCTTTCCCCAAGATCTCCTGGAGGAAGGACGGTAGGGCTGTTGGCTGGGAAGGGGCTGGGGTGCCCAGCAGATTGGGGACTGAGGAGAGAAGGGCCAGAGCCCACCCATCTGCACCTCTGCCAGGTTCTGGAGTGGGGGGCACCCAGCGAAGGCAGGGAGCAGCCTCCTTGTGTGGGGCAGTGAGGGTGGGGCTAGGCGGGACTTCCTGAGGGGCGGCTGGGGGGCTGGGAAGGAGACGGAGCAGGGCTGACATGGGGTTTGGGCCTGACAGTCGGGCAAGTGGTGCAGCCTTCACCAAGATGGAGAGGCTGTGGGGCAGGTCTGGGGGGCAGACCCGGAGTTTGGGGCATGTTAATTTCGAGACGACTGTTAGACACCCTGTCAGATGCCTAGCGGGCAGCCGGAGGTGGGTGATGTAACTCAGAGGAGCGGTCTGGTGGGAGGGGAAGGAGAAGCTGAGATCAAGGGAGAAGGCCAGCGGAGAAGAGGGTGCAGGAGGGAGGGAGCGAGTGGCCACGAGGGCACCCCCTGCTGGGACACGAGCTGACGGATGACTGCCCCGAGGGCGGGTCCTCTATACACAGGTACAGGATGACTGAGGTTAGTGTTGAATCCCATGCCTTGAGGCTCACAGAATCCTTCCCCTGCATCAGGGTCTTCTCGTTGCCACTGATTGGCCAGTGGTACCCACTGATTGGTGTTCCTCCCCAGGCCACTGTGGCTAGATGGATGGGTCATTCATTCATTAGCCTCCATTGAGGACCTACTATGTGCCAGGCCCTGAGCCTCCTAAGGATCCCAGGGGGAAAGTGAGGCAGGGTCTGGTCTCCCAGAGGGCCCAGTCTGGGGCGGAATTCAGGGGGGACACCTGCAGGCAAACCTGTGATGGAGAGAAGCTCAGGGTTTGTGGGAGCTCAGAAGAGTGCCAGGGTCAGAGCTGGTGCTTAGGGGAGCTTCCCGGCAGAGGTGACGTCGCAGTGGCAGGGTGAGTAGTGGCAGGAAGAGTTGGCCAGGATGGTAGGCGGACAAACGTTCCAGGTGGAAAGACGGGGAACCAGGGGCTTTTTCTTGCTGCTTCCAGGTCAGCCGGTGCCTGGGGAGGGGGCCGGCCGCGGGCAGGTGTCGGCTGTGGGGCAGCTGCTGTACCTGGGGCGGGCCCAGCCAGCCCAGGAGGGAACATACACCTGCGAGTGCAGCAACGTGGCAGGAACTAGCAGTCAGGACCAACAGCTGGAGGTGCATGGTGAGCCGGGCTGGGGTGACCTGAACCAAGCAGAAAGGGCCAGAAGGGTGGGCAGCCAGGCACCCTGGCAGGGCAGACCTCATCCCCCAGAATCTGAGCCAAGACAGAAACAGCGCTATGAGAACACTTCCACGGTGCCTCTTGGATGACTGGCGTTTTATTAACTGTCCCTCCCAATCAGCNCACAGGTAAGGGCCACACACATGGCAGGGCTGGGAGAAGGGTGAGAAGGCAGCTCACAGGCAGGAGGCTGGGGATCTGGCCTCAGAATCTGAGCCAAGACAGAAACAGCGCTATGAGAACACTTCCACGGTGCCTCTTGGATGACTGGCGTTTTATTAACTGTCCCTCCCAATCAGCTTCCTGCAGCTCCTGACCCAATCATGAACGAGGGGTGACATAACTCCAAGTAACCCCCAATGGCTAAGAGGGGAAAAAAAAACACATCTTGAAACAGTTGGAAACTGAAAGAAATATACACTTTCTATGAAGCTCCTATGTATAATAGAAACCCAAGTCTCCTGCAGTGATGAAATAGCCCAGCCTTATAAAAATCATTCTAGAAAAATAAAACCAAGAAAAGCATTTTAGGGGAGAGTAACCCACCCCCAGCCAGTCCCAATGGCTGTCTAAGCTCCAGGAAATCTCTGGCTTCTTAGGAGGAAAACCCCTCACGAATCTGAGCTTGTTCTCCAAATAGCAGCACCCCACAGAATTCCCAGGATGGGGAAGAGGGGGCTGTGGGGTACTGTGATGACCCCATTATGGGGATGGAAAATGGAGGTCCAGAGAGATGAGGTCACCTGGCCACGGGGAACATAGGCCTAAGTGGGAGCCAGCTTGGAGCCTGGCACGAATGCTTGATGCCCGGCAGCCAGAGCAGCTTTCCTTAATGTGCCTTCTCCCCACCCCAGTTCCCCCTCAGATCACTGGCCCCCAGGAGCCACACACACCAGTCTCCGTGGTCCAGGATGGGGAGGCCACTCTGGAATGCAACGTCACAGGGAAACCTCCACCCAGGGTGACATGGGAGCGGGACGGCCAGCCGGTGGGAGCGGAGCCTGGCCTGCGGTTGCAGAACCAGAATCAAAGCCTGTATGTGGAACAGGCGCAGGCTGCCCACACCGGACGCTACAGCTGTGTGGCCGAGAACGTGGCTGGGAGGGCCGAGAGGAGGTTTGCACTCTCCGTGCTAGGTGAGGACCGAAGGCCTGCTGGAGGAGAGCAGGAAAGGGGGGGGCGGATGGGAGAAGGCTAGGCCAGTTCAGTCTCCAGCAGGGCTGGATCAGAGAGGCCAGGATCAGTTCAGTCTCCAGGCACAGCTCTGGGCTGTGCTCCTGGTGTCACCCCTTGTTCTCCCAGGAGTCAGGCTTCTAGCGAGGGCTGCTGTTGGGGAAAACTTCCAACACTGCTCTCAAATCAGGACTGGCCTCACATAGCCCTGATTGCCGTCCCTCCGTCCCGCCCTCTCTCCGTTGTTTACTGTTCCCCTACTCTGTTCTGGCCACTGGGATCGGTCTCTCTCCTGCATGACCCACACCTGATGGGGGAGTTCAGGGGCCCGTGAGGGACCAGGATGACCCTGAACATTGTCGTGGGAAGTCAGGGCAGTCCCCCATAGGAGGTGACCTATTAGCTGAAATGTCAAAGCTGAGCAAGGGTTAGCGAGGTGCTGGGGTGAGGGGAGGAGTGGGCCAGGCTGAAGGAACAGACTCCCCACAGGCCTGGAGGGGTGACACAGACTTGTGATTTCAATCCTTTATTGAGCTTCTACTGTATGCCTCAGCGTGAAGGCAGAGAGAGGTAAGAGGTGAGGTGGGAGAAGTGGGCTGGGACCCCACCTCGCCCGCGCACCCCTGCCTGACAGAGTGTGCCATCATTTGCGAGTGGATTCTTTAGAAACTGCAGAGTAGCCACTTACCTCTGATATGAGGGTTTAGGGAACGCGTCTGTGTTCACCTTTTCTCTAATTCCAGTCTCCCTCGCTCAGCAGCAGCTCCGTACCAGGCAGTCTGCTAAGCGCTTTACACACATCCTTGTCGAATCCTGGCATCCCTCCGAGGGGTTGGGGAAACTGAGGCCCAAGGTGTCTGCATGATGCCAAAGCCCATCCTGTGGCCACCACTCACTCCCTTCAGTGGGAGCAGCTCTGATCTTGTCACTTCTGCTCCTCGGACTCTTCTGACGAGAGTGGGGGTCCTCGGGGAGGGCAGTCGGTGAGGGGTCGAGGAAGGAGCATTCGTCCTGAATGAGGCTTCTTCTCTGTGTCTAGTTCCCCCAGAGCTCGTTGGAGACTTGGACCCACTGACCAACGTCACCGCTGCCTTACACAGCCCCTTGACACTGCTCTGTGAAGCGACAGGAATCCCACCTCCGGGGGTCCGCTGGTTCCGAGGGGAGGAGCCCATTGGTCCTGGGGAGGACACCTACCTCTTAGCAGGTAAGGTGCCAGCCAGGGAAGTATCTGGTTATCAGGTCTGGCCCTCTGCCTCTGCCCCTGTCCATCACATGCCCTGAGCTGCCGGGCCTGGTTGGGATAACTATTTCAGCTGTTGGTCCCCTAAGAGTATACCTCAAAACACTGGTCAGGTAATGTGCTCCAGGAAAAAAAAATGGATTTAAATAAGTCTGGAAAAGGCTTCCTACTATGCTCCCCTCCTAGAGATTCACAGTGACCATTTGCATAGTCAAGGCTCTGATAAGTCCTGCAGCAAAAATTCTCATGGCACTTAGATAACATCTCACAGAATGGTAACAAGCCTTTGGAAGTACTAATCTAAGCACCTTCTCCTCTGAATATTTATCCTCCTCACACAGTTGGTTTGTGATAGTTCTTGCTGGCATATAAATGGGGAAACTGAGGCCCAAAAGGCAGTGTCCCATCCAAATCTTGCAAGAACTTCAAGGTGCCTTGAAGCTTAGCCTCAGTGACCCATCAGTTATTCCACACAGGGATGTTTCAATTGTTCCAAAGCTGGGATGGAAAATAAACTTCCCCTTGTGCACCACTTCTGAGCACAGAAGTGGGGGCTGCCAGGTGCATTGTGATGATATGGACTCAGGGACTGCATCTGGGCCCAGCAGAAAGAAGAACGGCGATCGATTAGTGATGTCTGCCCCGGGTGCAGGAACAACAGTAATGACTTGTGTCCTGTGTATGCGCCTTCTCTGAGCTGATCTTAGAAGATCCCTGGGTTCTTCTGAGGGGAGCTGGCTTGCCTCTGAAAGGGCCTCGAGAGAAAGTGGCCTTTTACAGGGTGCATCAGAGTAGTACGGGGGGTCTGACCTAGGCCAGAACTGCAAAGCCCATTGCTGTCCTTTTAGCCCCAGCCAATCCCCAGAAATGGGGGTAGCCAGATGACAGATCCTTCTTACCAGAACAGGGTCTCAAGCTTGCCCTGTTGTCCAGGGGGCTCCATCTATTTACCCTCCTGGGCCTCAGTTTTCCCATCTAAGAAATGGAATGCTGGGAGAGACAGACACATACACGTCTAATTATAACTCCTGGTACACAGCCTGGGCACAGTTTGGGACAGAGGCTGCTCATAGCTGTGCTTGGAGCCCACTGCCCTCCCACCCCAGGTGGCTGGATGCTGAAGGTGACCCGGACACAGGAGCGAGACAGAGGCCTCTACTCATGCTTGGCAAGCAACGAGGCCGGGGAGGTGCGGAGGAACTTCAGCGTGGAGGTCCTGGGTATGTCACAGCGCCGTTCTTGTGGGCAGACCCTGAATCCTCTTCCTCCCGGCCTGGGAGCTTCCGGGGGTAGGGTCCGGGACTAAGGGCATGGGCTGTGGCAGGGGGCCCAGCACAGGAAGGAGGGGGGGCCCGAGGCTCCTTCTCTTTGCCTCATTAACAATCTCTGCTCTGAGGCTGCCACGGAACTTCCCCAGAAACAACAGGGACTAACCCAGAGTGGAAGGGGGCAGATATTTTCAGTGCCACCCAATGGCACTGGCACTTCCCTGAGCCAGCAGCAAATGTTTCTTAAGCTCACCGCCCTGTGGGAGCAGGCATGAGGGGATGGGGAAAACACGGCACAGGAAGCTGAAGATGCTGTGGGCTCTTGGTTTTCTACTTAATCATTGTTCAGCCCAAGTGGGCCAACCCTGTTCAGTAACCATCCGTCTCCCTGCCTCTCCCAGTTCCTCCCAGTATCGAGAACGAGGACCTGGAAGAGGCAGTTAAGGTCCTTGAGGGACAGACAGCCCACCTGACGTGCAACGCCACAGGTAAGGGCCACACACATGGCAGGGCTGGGAGAAGGGCGAGAAGGCAGCTCACAGGCAGGAGGCTGGGGATCTGGCCTGCCTACCCCCAGCCCCGCTGCTCCCCAGAGCGTCTCTCTACATCTTGGACTTGGCACCACGTTCCTGCTCATCTTTGCACTCACTGTGCCTCTGCCCCAAACACGCTTCCCCGCTCCTCGCCTGGCTCCAGACCTCAGCTTCCAGGAGCCTCCACAAGGAGTCTTTGGCTGACTCCTCAGGCATCGTTGGCGGCCTCCACCATGCTTCCCCGCCCCAGCACTGAGCACACTGGGACAGAGTGGCCTTGTGACTTCTGTGTACCCCAGCTGGGGTCTGAGCCCCTTGAGGACCCAAGGGCTATCTTGTCACTGTGGTTCCTGCAGTGCCTGGCACAGTAGGCTCCCATTAATGCGTGTGGGCTGGGATGGATAGATGGATGGATGGATGGATGGATGGATGGATGGATGGATGGATGGATGGATGCATGGGTGGATAGACGGGTGGACGGATGGATGGATGGACAGTTGGATACATGGATGCATGGATGGATGGATAGATGGATAGGTGGATGGATGGCTAGGTGGATGGATAAGTGTGCATATGTATATATGTATGTATGTTTGGATGAACGGACAGACGGATGGATGGATGGATGGATGGATGGAAAGAATAACTTGCTTTTCTTCTTGCCTGTCTGTACCACGCCATCTCTGCCCACTCCTTGGTAAGGAAAAGGCAATCAAACCACTTAGGAAAGGGCCCAGCTGGGTGTGGAGATTGCTTCTGTGCCTTGCCCTGTTGTATGGGCCTCTGGACTGAGTTGGAGAAGCCATGTCCCCGGCCCGTTCCTGGAGCGTCTCCAACCTCTGGGCCGACCTGGTCAAATCCTGCTGAACTCTCACCTGCCTGTCTCCTCTGCTTACAGGCCATCCACAGCCCAAGGTCACGTGGTTCAAAGATGGCCAGCTGCTGACTGGTGGAGACACCTACCACGTTTCTCCAGATGGAGCCCTCCTGCAGGTCCTCCAGACCAACCTGTCCAGTGCCGGCCACTACTCCTGCATTGCAGCCAATGCCGTGGGGGAGAAGACCAAGCACTTCCAGCTTAGCGTCCTGGGTAAGTGCTGGGCATCTCCTGGCCACCCTGGATGCTGGCAGGAGGAAGAACCAAGGTGACCAGCTCCTGACAGACAGCTTCCCACAAAGCACTCTACTGTATTTCCTTCCACTTCTCCAAGTTCAGCAACAAAACAACAAAAATAATAATAGTGGCTATATTGGTTGAACATTTATCAAAAGCCAGGCATTTGGACAGGCCTGATTGGTCGAATCTTCACAACAGCTCTAACAGATGGGTAATGTGCTTGTCCCCATGTCACTGGTGAAGCTCTGAGGCTTAGAGAGGTGACAAGACCTCTTCCAGCCTGCCCGTCTCCCAAGGGCGATGCTGCACCAACTGTCTTGTTAGGCTGGAGAAGCGGGGATCTAGAAAATGAGAGGGACACAGACCGGTTTATAAAATCTATTTCTAAAAGTGCTGGTGGTGGCCGAGTGGTGCATTGGTTAGGAGTTGGCTTGGGACGCCAGCTCTGAGCAGCAGGGCCCCAGTTCGGATCCCACATGAGGGCCAGTGACGCTGCGCCCTCTACAGCTAAGATGGTGAACAACAGCTCGACCTGGACCTGGGCTGCTGTGAGTCGCTGGCCACAGTGTAGGCTGCAGTGGGGCTGGCCGGCAGCGGGCGTGAGCTTTCATGAGCTACCGTGAGCTGAGCCGCCTTGAGCAGCCATCCAATGGCTGGCAAGCAACTTCCTCTCCCACCACCTCCCCCACCCCCCGGGAAGAGCTCAATGATCGCAATACCAACATGGGCCAGTGAAGCGACATCTTCCTCAACTAGACTGAAGAACAAAAGGACAGCAACTTGTCTGTTCCCCTTCCCCAATTCCCCAATGCTGTTCCCTTCCTCTAATTCCCCAATTAAAAAAAAAGAAATCTTTTTAAAAAATAGAGAAAGAAAGAATAAAAGTGCTAGTGGTCAAAGGGAGAGTCACCTGCAGGGGCTGAAAGGGAATTTTAGGACTAATGAAAACAGCAAGAGAAATTCTACTCAACAGGAAACAGAATTCCACCTCCCATTCCACCCTCCACTCAGGGAGTGGTACAAATTGGAAACGTAAACAACTGAGAAGGCTCTGGTTACATCAGTAGATAATCTAGATGCTAAGAGGCTATTGGGGAAATTGAGGCAGAAATTATCCAGCTTCCTCTAGAGCAGGGGTCAGTAAACTTTTGAGATGGAAGAGCCGCCAGGGGTTAGCAAACCGCATCTCACGTGCCGCAGGCTCTGAAGTAAAATTGAAAATGAAAATAAAACTATCATAGTTTCATTTATAAAATTTTTTTTAAGATTTTATTGGGGAATTGGGGGAGGGGAACAGTGTTGGGGAATTGGGGAAGGGGAACAGCCAAGTTGTTGTCCTTCAGTCTTAGTTGTGGAGGGCGCAGCTAGCTCAGCTCCAAGTCCAGTCACGCCGGTCAGCTCAAGGTGCCATGTTCAATTAGTTGCGGGTGGGCGTAGCCACCATCCCATGTGGGAGTTGAACCCGGCAGCCTTGTTGTTAAGAGCGCATGCTCTATCCACTGAGCCATCCAGGCGGCAGCTCAGCTCAAGGTGCTGAGTTCAGTCTTAGCTGCGGGTGGGCATAGCCCACCATCAAAGAGGCAGTCTTCTTGTTAGGAGCACGTGCTCTCACCAGCTGAGTCATCCTGCCACCTGTTGGCAGCTCAGTGGCAGCTCAGCTCAGGCACAGCTCACTGGCCCATATGGGAATCGAACCGGCGACCCTGTTGCTCAGAGCTTGCACTCTTGGGCAAGCTCTTAACCAACGAGCCATTTGGCCGGCCCTATAAAATTTTTAAAGGCTATTATTCAGGGGCCGGCTGAGTGGCTCAGTTGGTTAAGAGCTCGCTCAAGAGTTTGAGCTCTGAGCAACAGTGGTTTGAGTCAGCCCGAGCTGAGCAGCCGTGAGCTGCCAACAGGTGGCGGGATGGCTCAGCTAAAAAATAAATAAATAAATAAAAAATAAAGGCTATTATTCATATAATGGTGATTATGTAAAAATATATTATGGCTCTCGAATAATTTTTAAATTGTTGTGAGGGACAGGATTGGCTCTTCCAGGGGTTGGAAAACTTTTGAGACGGAACGTACCCAAAGAGCCGCATGTGGCATGTGAGGTGCAGTTTGCCGACCCCTGCCCTAGGGTATTGCTTAGTGGTGGAGAGCCGGGGCTCTGGGCTACCCAGGCCTGAATTCATGTCTGACTGCACTGTGCCTGGGCCCCTCTGAGCCTCAGTTTCCCATCTGTGTAACGCAAATGGCAAAAGCACCACAGCTAAGCATGAGGGCCTGAGACTGTTCCAGATCCTCAGGCCTGGGGTTGGGGATCTGTTCTCTGCCCCCCACCACACAGTGGCTCCTACCATCCTGGGGGTGACCGAAGACACTGCAGACGAGGAGGTGACCGTCACCATCAACAACCCCATTTCTCTGATCTGCGAGACACTGGCCTTCCCCTCCCCCACCATCACCTGGATGAAGGACGGGACCCCATTTGAGGCCTCGAACAACATCCAGCTGCTCCCAGGTGATGCCCTCTGTGGGAAGGAGTGAGGGAAGAGGCGACATGTTATTGGGCTGGGTCAGAGGAAGGGACTGGTGAGCCTGAGCTCATGCCTGGGGGTGACCCTGGCCACTGCCCCTTAAGCAGGCACCCACGGGCTGCAGATCCTGAATGCCCAAAAGGAAGACGCGGGCCAGTACACTTGCGTGGTCACCAATGAGCTTGGGGAGGCCATGAAGAACTACCACGTGGAAGTCCTCAGTGAGTCAGGGGACCTGTGGGGCACTGGCCGGGTGGGCAGGAGGAACCCTGGGACCCTGGCACCTGGGCCACACTTGACACCCCAGGCACCTTTATGTGACTTGTCTTCTTTGACAGTCACCAGGCAGCTGGGCCGGCTGGGCCATTCCCCATTTTAGGGCCAAGGACACTAGGAGGAGGGACTGGTGACTTAGGACTTGGGCCACGTCGATGCCCAGACCCACACCAGTCCTGGCTTCCTTCTGCCACTTGTGCTGTGGTGCAACCAAAGGCTCTGCAACTTTAGACCTGGGAGCCCCAGAAAGGCCCCCAGAGGTCACCTCAGGAATCCCCCTGCCTCAGATCTTCCCCGTCCCATAACCATCGCTGGCAAACGCTCTCGTCCCTAAGTGAAAAGCCCCAGGAGGAGATTGGTCTCCATGTCTCTGTTCCTTTACTCTCCAGAGCTGGCCCCCCATTCCTGGGACTGCCCTGGGACAGGGTGAGCGCAGGGTCTTAGCACCCCCTCCTCAGCCCTGCTCCTCAGACCCCCTTGTGGTTTTCAGTCCCCCCTTCCATCTCCAAAGACGACCCCACGGGGGAGGTCAGTGTGAAGGAAGTGAAGACCAAAGTCAACAGTACCTTGACCCTGGAGTGTGAGTGCTGGGGCGCACCCCCGCCCACCATCAGCTGGTACAAGGATGGACGGGTGAGTGCAGGACCCCCTGGGTGGCCTCAGGCTCTCACCTCTGGGTCCCCCTGGTTCTGCTTGGAACCTTTCAGAAAAGACAGTCAAAGCACCTGGCCCCAGAGCTGGCCTGGGCCCTGTTTCACCCTTTACATTTTAATAAGAAATCTTACTTTTTTAGGGAATATGGAGCAGATGTCATCAACAGTAAACTCTGTGTTCACCCATTTAATTCTCTTCCAATTTTTAAGTTCTATGGATTTGGTTTTACCGAGTATCAGGGTGCCCTGTCATTTTGTTGTATTTTTAAAACTTTATTAAAATCGCAGTACACTTGTGTGGGTGCTTTCTGCCCCTCATCTGTGATCCCCGTCCCCCACTTTCCTGTCCCCAGCCCATGACCCCCAACGAGCGGCTCCACATCCTGGGTGAAGGGCGGCTGCTTCAGATTCAGCCCACTCAGGTCTCGGATTCAGGGCGATACCTGTGCGTGGCCAGCAATGTGGTTGGAGAGGATGACCAGGACTTCAACGTGCTCATCCAGGGTGTGTGGGGGCCAGCAGGGCCCGGAGGGAGCGTGGACCAGTGGGACTGGGGGTGGCACGGCGGGCGGTGGGGAGCGTAGGTGCTTCTGGAGTGGCCTGGCAGGACTGTTTGTTCCGAGCTGCCTGTACCCTTTCTCACCACCGTCTGGCAGGTCTGGCCCCTGGACTCCTGGCCTGGGCTCTTTCATTAACTAACTTCTTGACCTGGGGACATCACTGCCCCCCTAGGCCTTGGTTTTGCCTTTGTAAAATGTGGGTGATCAAATCCAGTGGCCATGAGGGGCTCCTTCAGTTCTAAAAGCTGATGATTTTGTGCCTCTGGGCTCCAGTCAACAAACCGGCTAAAGCTGAGCATCTGCCTTCCTCCTCTGAAAAACAGCATCGTGTCACGAGAAGGTTTTTGAGCCCATTAGACAGGAGTGGGGGGGGGGCAGGGACCTTATCCGGGTGCCCAGCAGAGTAATTGCTCTGTAGACACTGGTTGAAGGAGCGAGTGAATTTAAAAAACGCCTTGACCCAAGGAATTGGTTCTCACGGTGGGATTTCTAGTCCTGGGGGAGGCTGGAGAGGCTCTTCACTTCACGCAGAGGTGCTTCCCCATCCCTCAGCTGTGCGTCCTAATGGCTTTGTGCCCTCCTAGTGCCCCCCATGTTCCAGAATGTGGGTGATGCCACTGCAGCCTCCGAGTTCCTGTCCCGGGAGGAGGAGGCCCGGGGTGGGGTGACGGAATACCAGGAGATTGTGGAGAACAACCCCGCATACCTGCACTGTGACACCAACGCCGTCCCGCCCCCGGAGTTCACCTGGTACAGGGAAGACCAGCCCCTCTCGGCCACGGACGGGGTGTCTGTTCTGCAAGGTAGGCAGAGAAGTTGGGGCATTTGTAGGCAGACACCAGGGTCATACTCACATCAGAGCTGGTCCCCGCGCCTGCCTTCCCACAAGTCCTCTGAGCGCTCCTGTGTGTTGCTCGCTGTGTGAACTTGGGCAGGACCCGGGACCACTCTGGACCTGAGCTGCTTTTTGTAAAATGGGGCTAGAGTTTTTAGAGCAGAAGTTCTCGCCTGGGCCGTGCCCACCTCTGGGCTTCAAGATCTGTGGTGTCCTGAAATAACGGCCAAAGCTGGCTCCTTTCTCTGGAGGGGGAACTGTTTCTATTATTAGCATCTGACCCTAACATGGAAGAACCTCTCACTGGGCTCAGGACCACCCTGGGGTCCATGCTCATGGCTATGTGACTTTTTTTTTTTTTACTGCTTTAAAATAGTTTTTAGAGTAAATCATTTTTAAAATAGTTTTTTTGAGGATGATTTTGGATTAAAAGGCTCTGGCGTAGGGCTTAGCAACATCTGTCTTCCCTGGGTGCTGACCCAGCCCCTTGGGTGGACCAGAGCTGGGAGGAATTCCAGGCACAGAGCACTGTAATGTCTCAGGAACAGGGATTCGGTGGTCTCCTGGCTTAGGATTCACCCGTGTTCTGCCAGGCTTGGGCCAGTGGTGGGGCCGTCGGGGAGGGGTGGAGGAGGGGAGATAAGGTGGGTTGCACGGGCCTGTGGAGGCGCAGGGTCATTCCAGGGTTTGTACTTTGGTGCTTACAAAAGAAGGCGGCCTCTTAGAGATCTGGGAGAAGCGACGTTTACTAACGGCTGTTTGCTCCTGTCAGAAACCCCGGGACTGACCTCTTAAACTGCCCTCTGATGTGGACATTGACCCAAAACCTGGGTACACAGTGATCTCAGTCACATGCTGATCCCTGGCTCAAACCCTGACCATAGGTTAATTGCAGCCATCAACTGAACCCTGGCCAGAACCACTGACCCCCGGTCCTAGCCATTAACCCCCAACCCCACCATTGACCTCTGACCCTGGCCACGGGCTCCTAATCCTGAGCACACAGATTAACCTCACCCATCAACTGACCCTCAACCATAGCCACTCCCTCCTTAATCCCGGCCACTGTCCCCTGGTTCTGCATGTAATGGGCCCCTGCTCCTAACGCTGGTCACAAGCCACCACAGCCTGGGCCAACACTCTCCCAACCTAGAATGTAAGCGCACTGTGACTCTAGCCTGGCCCCTGCTTCAGACCAACTCCAGCCCCCAGAGATGCCAGGGTCTGGCCTTGGCTGACTGGATCACAGAGGGCCCCAGGTGACACCCCCCAACACCCCACACGCCCAACCGCCACAGCCCGGAGCTGCCTCTTGGTCTCCTAAGAGCCCCTGCCCAGCTTGCTGGCCTTCCCTCTGCCCTCATCCAGGAGCTGGGCTTAGTGCTGCTGGGCGCCCTTGGGAAGCCTCGGCGTTTCCATCTGTAGCAGGGAAGTGTCTACAGCAGAGTCGGAGCAGGAAATGCGTGGCCAGGCCTGGCACACAGCAGCCTTCCTGCGCTTTGTGTGATCCCCTCGTCCCGTGAGCTGGGCAGCGCAGGCGGAGTCTCTCCATTTCACAGGCGGGGGGCAGTGATATGTCCCAGGTCCCCTCCTGGCCCTTTCTCAGTCCTCTGTCCCCCGTCCCCACAGGAGGCCGGGTCCTGCAGATCCCCTTGGTACGTGTGGAGGACGCCGGGAGGTACTCGTGCAAGGCCTCCAATGAGGTGGGAGAGGACTGGCTGCACTACGAGCTGATGGTGCTGAGTGAGTGGCTGGCCTGGGCGCGGGGGGTCTCAGGTCTGCAGGCCCCATGAGATCCTTCCCGGAAGGGGGTCACGGTGGAGACCATGTTCAGCCTGGCTGTACTTGGAGGTTGATACTGTAGGGGTTACGAGCTTGAGCTCTGAAATCAAAGAGGATTGGGGTCAAATCCCAAGTGAACCGCTTCCTAGCTGTGTGACCTTGAGCAATTCACAGCCCTCTCTGTGCCACAGAATCCTTAGCTGCATCAGAGCCTGGGAGGGGGTGTTGAGAAGGGCACCAGGAGCCCCAGCCGGTGCCTGGAGCCAAGTGCTGCTCTCGCCTCCACCAACCACCCCCACCCCCAGGGACCTTTCCCAGGAAGGCTGCCTGCCCCTCACCCTCTTCTCCCCAACCCCAGCCCCGCCTGTGATCCTGGGAGACATGGAGGAGCTGGTGGAGGAGGTGACCGTCAACGCCAGCAGCACCGTCAGCCTACGGTGTCCGGCCGTGGGCAACCCCGCGCCCGCCGTCTCGTGGTTCCAGAACGGGCTGCCTTTCTTCCCGAGCCCACAGCTGCAGGTCCTGGAGGACGGGCAAGTCCTGCAGGTCAGGGCATCCCGCGACGCGGCAAAAGGCAGCGGCTACGCAACAGCACTGCTTGTCTGGGAACCAAGGAGCTGCCATTGTCTGTGCCACACGAGGCTGTTTGCCTGAAGGCATGCGGGAGCCCCTGGGATTTAATTCAGCCCACCATAGTGTGCCTCGCTGGCAGGCACAGGGCTTCACATAAGCACCCAGAAATTCTTGTGATGCCCGAAAAGGACGCGCCTGCGTGCCGCACCTACAGCCCAGGGCGGCACAGGGCGGCGTTCTGTGGGAGTGGCCTCTGACACAGCCGTGCCCAGCACGTAGGACCTTGGGCAGCACCCTCGGCTACCCAGCGTCCAGACACAGCTGGACCCCTGGAGCCCCACACAGCGTAGAGCAGCCCTCCTCGGGGCTGGGGGAGACGATTGTCACCATCTCGCTTTCTACGGGGAATCACTCAGCACCAACCCACACCCACACATGTCACAGATAGCCTTAGATGGACGTGGGGGGTGCATGCCCATCAGTGGAGCCCCTAAGCGCTGCTCCACGTAGACAAAGGTGGCCTTCTGAGGGGGTCCTCCTGGTGTGTGGTACGGTGGGAGGGAGCCCTCACAGTAGTTCCTGTGGAGGCGGCTGAGAGCCGTCAGGCCTGTGACAAGTCCCAGGCACCCCTCCCTGTGCCCACAGGTTTCCACAGCAGAGGTGGCAGACGCTGCCAGCTACATGTGTGTGGCCGAGAACCCAGCGGGCTCCGCGGAGAAGCTCTTTACCCTCAGGGTGCAAGGTGAGCTGGGCCAAGCCAGCGGTCCCCCAGGGCTCCCCAGCCGAGGAGGGGCTGGTGCTGTGGGCCTGCTCTGCGTGCTCCGTGAGTTATCCGTGCAGGCAGGCACAGCACTGGTCCCTCCCAGACGGGCACCACCTCGGTGCTTCGACCTGTACCCCCACCGAGGCCCCAGGGCTACACCTAGAGTTCTGGGATTCTGGCTTGGCCAGAGAGCATTTAGGGAACCCTGATCACTAAAGACCAACCCCACTAGGAGGCAATCAGGAAACGCCTCTTCTGAGGCCATACAACACCATTATTAAGCACTTACTGTGTACCTGGCATGGGGTAGGAGGTTAGCCCAATCTTATAACTGTGGAAACAAGCTCAGAGGGGTCACCCATTTGGGGGGTTTCACCGCCCCAGCGGCGGCCCTCTGCACTCTTGGGACACATGCACCTCAGTGGCCGTGAGCTCTGCCTCTAGATGTGGGGCAGCTGTGGCCTCAGAAATGAAAGTCTAGGACTCAAGTATGAATTGATATTTTGGCTCTGCCACTGAGCAGCTGAGTGGCCCTGGAGAAGCCACTCTCCCTCTCTGATCTCCGAGTCCCTGCGTTCTCATCTGTGACGTACTTATGACAAATAGTGGCTGCTGCACAGCGGTGTTTGCAGCTGCGCCCGGGTGAAGCTCTAGGAGCTCGCAGAGCCCCTCTGTGTCACTCCATAGCTCCCCGCTCCTCTGCTGGGACACATTCTCAAGTGTCTTTCTTTACCCTGGTGGCCACGGGGACAGTGCCACCACGAATCGCAGGCCTGAACTCGGAGCAGGTCACGGCCATCCTCAATAGCAGCGTCTCCCTCTCCTGTGATGTCCGTGCTCAGCCGAGCCCCGAGGTCACATGGTACAAGGACAGCCGGGCCCTCTCCCTGGGAGAAGAGGCCTTTCTCCTGCCTGGTGGGTAAACTGAGGCTTGGGGCCCAGCTCTGTGGGGAGCCAGAGTGGCTTCCCTTAGCCTGGGCCCGGACTGGGAGCCTGGGAGGGCGTGGACCTGGGGGCTGGCGCGTTTGCTGGTGCGAGGGGCTGGCTCCTCACCCCCCTATGGCAGGCACCCACACGCTGCAGCTGGCACGTGCACAGCCGTCGGACTCCGGGATATACATGTGTGAGGCCCTCAATGCTGCTGGCCGAGACCAAAAGCTGGTGCAGCTTAGCGTGCTGGGTACGTCCTAGGTGCAACCCCGCCTCCACCATCCCCTGCTCCTTGATTCAGCCCCTCAGCCCACACCCCTCGGGCAGCACAGCCAGGGGAGGACCTGGGGGGCCTGGGATGCTCCGTGCCCTCCTGCAGTGATGGTGCCTAGGCAACGTGGTGGCTAAGGTCATGGTCTACAGAGTTGGATGCACTTGGGTTTGAAACTCAGCGGTGCACTTCCTTGCTCTGTGACCTGGAGTAAGTCACTCCCCCTCTCTGAGCCTCAGGTCTCTCTTCTGTAGGTGACAGTTGGTATAAGGGTTAAATGATGGTATGCGAGTGCTTAGCTCAGTGCCTGGTGGGTAGTGAGCTCTGAAGTTGGGGAGGGGAAGGGCCCTTCTCAAGCCTGATTGATCACGTGGTTCTCTGCATGGTGCCTCTCTCGGGGCTCTTGGTCTTCAGAATCCTCTTGAGGAAAAGCTGGCCTAAGATGTCATGAGCCAGGACTCACTGGAAGATTCTTTCTAGCCTTGGGGCTGGTTCCTTCATTTGTGTGTGTTCATCTGCTGTGTGATGGACACTGTGCCAGGTCCTATGGGTTCACGGCTGGTGTGTGTGTGGGGGGTGCTTCTACATTGCTTTACTGGAAGGACAGGGGGCTGTGGAGACCCCATGGAAGGTTCTAACCCAGGTGGGGCCGGCCCTGTATAGGAAACAGCCCAGGAGGGTCAGAGCGACTCCCTCATCGAGGAGGCTGAGGCCCAGAGAGGGCAGGAGGCTTTTCCCAGGTCACCCAGCAGGTCCTTGGCATCATGGCCTGGATTCTCTTCCTCTAAGTCCCTGGGCCTATGTCATCCTCTGGGGTGAGGGGACCCTTGTGGGCCTCT